TTGCAAATAATCTAAATAACTCAATAATAATTTTTACCCTCTCTAATCGAAATTCCTAGCTCTGTCCCGCTCCTATACCATGTCATGAACCTCATTCAATAGTTTTCAAAGCGAGTAAAATAAACAACCACTTCTAGAAGTAAAAAATTAATTTGCTAGGATTAACCGATCAATGTATACCGGCTCTTCCACGTCAAGTACTTTGGACACTCTCCACTCAATATGGGTGACTTAGTATTTTCACCAACGATTCTTGCTCTATAAATTTTCTAGGTAGAAAGGTCATCTCAAGAAGAGAAGTTGCAAAGAAATGGAGAAGAGTGTGACCCTATATTTGGTGTTCTTATCATATCTAGTGGCAGCTGCTACCGCCCAAAGTGCTTCTAATGTTAGAGCAACTTACCACTTCTACAACCCTAAGCAAAACAACTGAGACCTGAATGCTGTGAGCGCCTTCTGCTCAACATGGGATGCCAAAAAGCCCCTGGCATGGCGCCAAAGGTTCGGATGGACCGCCTTCTGCGGATCTGCTGGGCCTCGTGGAAAAGCTGCTTGTGGCCTGTGCTTGCAGGCATATGTTAAAGATTTAAACTCTTAACCAGTAAGACGTCTTTACGGAACACTTATTTTCTTCTTTTAAATTGCTAATGTTTTGGGCTTTCTTTGCTAATATGGTAGAATTAAAATAATGCTTTTCTTGGGTATTATAGGTGACTAACACTGCGACGGGAGCTCAAGCCAAGGTGAGAATCATCGATCAGTGCAGCAACGGAGGTCTTGATCTAGATTCTAATGTGTTCAATCAGCTTGACACGAACGGGAAAGGCTATGCTCAGGGACACCTTAATGTTAACTATAAGTTTGTCAACTGTGGTGACTGAAGGCTGAAACTATATTAATTACTAGTATTATGGCCATCATAATCAAGGTAGAATTAATAATATGGCCAAAAAAATCAAGGTAGAACAAGCTTATGTAATTAAGACGGATGCTTCTGGAATAAAAGTAGGCTGCAGCTGGTAAGCTGATCAGCCTTTTTGAAGAGAAAATAGTGACATTAGAAATCGACTTTAATTTCCTGAGTTTATCCACTTTTACTCTTATGTATGCTTGAGGAGAGAACCGAATGTTGTATGCCTATGGTTATATTATAGTCTTATAAATGTAATTGTTGTGGATAAAACAGTTTTAAAAATCATTTTTAAAAGCAATAGTTTTTGTCTCTCTGTAAAAAAAAAAGTTATTCTTATGATGCAATTCCCACTCAAAGAATTTAAACCATCTAAAGTCAATATATTAAATATTAAAGTATGAAAACAAAGAAGAAGAGAACAACTATAAACTTTTGAACTGTTGAGGAAGAAAAGCTATCTTTGTGAGGCTGTTTTATTTATTTATAAGGCCCCAATAGGTGCCTCTTGCACCAGTTGGAATAGATGCAATTTTTTTCAAAAATTGCAGCTTCCTTTCATCTTTCTGTTCTGTACTAGGAAATTAGGCAGCTTTCCAAATGGTTGACCTGAAGTCAAGGATGACTAAGAATTGGCCACAATCAAAGACCGAAAAACCAGAGGCAGAAAGTGCTTGATGGGATTAGAAGCAAATTAAATTGAGTTGGCAATTTTGACTACTTTGCCATGTTCACGCCATCAGCGCTACATTGAGTAACAATTTCTTTTTATTCATACATTGGGTGATAAATATGGTGTTTTGCAGTTGAATTATTTTCTATTAAAAATTGTTAATCATTAGTTGGAGGAAATTAACTTTTAGGTGGTTAAGTCAATATCAATGTCATGATTCTTCTTAATCTAATAAATAATATTTTATGTTTTATAATTTAATACCATTTAAATTATAAAATGTTGATGAATAAAATTTTCCTTATCCCCTTTTACTTTGCTTTCTTGTGAAAATTTTCCCCAATTTATTGTATTGATATTTTCTTTACAACAAAGGAGAGAGAAAATTAAAGAAACATAATAAAAAACAGAATAAGAAAAAGGAAGAAAAATAATAGGAGTATAATGTTTTTGTCTATAATAATTGAGTTAAGATCAACTTATATGGTGTAACAAGGAAATCTTTTATGTTGATTAAAACAAGGAAATCCATATGCTTGTTTAATCTCTCTGATTGGTTATATGATCCTACCAAATGTCTTAAAGTTAACTGTGGTAGGAAATAGAGTCTTGTCCAATGCGTGGATGGATTAGCTTTAATGTAAAGAAGGAATTGTTAGAATCCCACGCTGTTTACTTATAGGTTATATTGAGCAAATAATTGACTCTTGTTAGAATTTAGGCAGAGTCAGTAGATGCTCAATATCTCACCTAATTTTGTATTATGGGCAGGAGTACCTCTTGTACTCTATCTAATGAATTAAATTTGCTGTGAAAAAAAAAAAAAACTTATATGGTGTAACTATTATTATTTACACCATAAATTATAAATATATCTATTGATGTCACGTGTCACCTATCAAAACAAGTGACTATGTTTAAGTCAGGTTAAACTTGATGTTGTGATTTGGAATAGGACCATGATTGGCATACACTCATCCACACCACACTCCCGTTACACATTGTTTTTCCTGTTAGCTCTCACACTCCATTAGTCTCCATTTCACTCTCACCATGTTCCCACCTTTTTCCTTTTTTTTTTTCTCCCAAGTTCTCTCCGAGAACCCAAACCTGGGTTCTCCAGGACAGCCCAGTCTAGGTTCTCCCCCACCTTTTTCTTTTTTTTTTTTTCCTCCCAGGTTCTCTCCGAGAACCCCAACCTGGGTTCTCCAAGAAAGCCCAGTATGGGTGGCAAAAGCCTAAGAATAACCCCTTACCTTGATAAGTTGGACGGTTTTGGCCCCTCTCCTTATAACATAACGGTTTTAGCCCCTAACCTATAAAAATGGAAGAAAATAGCCCTTTTTTTAACTTCCGTTCGTTGGGCTGTTACCGTCCGTCACTTCCGTCCCTTCCTCCGTTATCTTTCCGTTAACTTTCTCAAAGCTTCTCCAAGAAGCTTGCTGCATTTTTTTTTGGGAATTTAAACTTTTTTTTTTTAGAATTCTAA